ACTGCGCCACCCAGGCGCCCCTGGGTGTACCATTTTTAGTTTATTCCTGAGGGCCACTGGGTTCCTTCTCCCTGTTGCGTTTTTGTGAATAATGCCGCTATGAACATGAATGTACAAATATCTCTTGGAGACCTTGCTTTTAATTCTTTTGAATATATACCCAGAAGTGGGATTGCCAGATCATATGGTAATTCTTTAATTTTCCAAAAAACAGTCATACTGTTTTACACCACTTTACGTTGGCACCAAAAGGGCACCAGGGTCCTGATTTCTCCATATCTTTGCTAATACCTGTTATTTTCTGTTATTTTTTTAGAAAATAGTAACCATCCAAAATAAATAAATAAAAATAGTAATCATCCTAATGGGCGTGAGGTGATAGTTCATTGTGGCTTTGATTTGCATTTCCCTAACGATTAGTGACACTGAGTAGAGACTTACTTTAAATGGCTTCATTTTATCTTCATAAAAACCGTCCTAATTGGTTATCTCCATTTCACAGGGGAGGGAAAAGATTTAGAGGGAGACTAAGTTATTTGCCCAACATCTTCCGACCAGTAATGGGGGAGACAGGGTCTGAGACGTAGGACTCAGACCCCAAAGCCCACAGTGCCATACTGCAGAGCAAAGATTCAGTGTCCCTCGCCCCAACACTTCTTCCTCCTGAACTGCTTGAATTGCTCGCTCCAAAGACCAGAGACACAGGTCCCCTGCAGTCTAAGTTCCTACACCTGGTGGCCGCTTGCTGACCCCCTGACCCCACCAGCGCCATGGCATTCTCAGGGTCGGCCCCAGAGGAAAGCGTAGAGGCGGTTCCCTCACAGGGAGAGTGCTTCATTCGGGTAGAGTGGGAACCCCATTTCTCGAGTATCCAGGGAGGTGGACACCCCGAAATCCAGTCCTTAGCTAACCGCTCCCTCCCTCTGTGCTTGAGACGTGAGCCCGATGCCCCGTGCAGGGAGGCAGAAGCGGGGAGTTGGGGGCGGGGGTCCATCTCCCGATCCTCAGCCTTAGGTGGAGGAGGGGAGGAGGGTTTGTTCCGAAAAGATCTCAAAACCTCTAGCCTCCCAAGCCTCCCGGCAAGGACGAGCCTCAAACCCGCTCACCATCACGGCAGGCCGCCCCACCCCCAGCCGACGCGCAGCCGCACTCCCAACAAGCGCGTCTCGCCTGCGGCCCGGGACGTCGGCTGCGGAGTCCGCCACTATCCCGTCAGGCCGTCTGGGCAGGCCTCGCTCTTTTCCTCCTCCGTCGTCCCGCCTCCTCTATCCCGTCTGGCTCTGCGGCGCAGGGGCAAGATGGCTGCTGAGAAACAGGTTCCCGGTGGCGGCAGCGGCGGCGGCGGTAGTGGTGGTAGCGGCGGTGGACGCGGTGCCGGAGGAGACGAAAATAAGGAAAACGAACGGCCTTCAGCCGGATCGAAGGCAAACAAAGAATTCGGGGATAGCCTGAGTTTGGAGAGTATCCTAGAGTAATCGGGCCTAACTCGCAATGACTACGTGTCGATATGCATGGCCGGGGGCGGGAGACGCGGCGGGTCCCGGCACGTCCCAGACAGGAGCGGCCGAGGGTTGCAGTTTCTCTCGCCGTTACTTTCTGGCGCTCAGAGTTCCAGGGTCTGTATTTCGACCGGCCTTTTCTCGCATCTCATTCGCCTTCCAGGCTGGGGAAACGTCCGGTTCTTTCTCGTGGCCCCAGGAGGTTGGGCAGATTTCTGCAGTGTCCCCCCTCAGTTGCCTGCTTGCAGGGCTGGTGACAGGGATGACACTCTGGCCACCCCAGTGAGCTCCTGTCTTGGCACCTTGAGTCACTGAACTGAGGAGGGAAAATTACAGCGTTGACATTTTTGGCTTAAAACTTCTGTCCCACAGCCGTGGGGACCCGTGTCCTGACTATGGAGGCAAAGATTGATTGCTCTGTGGAAAAACTTGTTGAATATAAACGTAGATTAACATCGCTTGTATAACTTTCTTAATAGGCTTGTAGGCATTTTATCTGGTTGAGAGTCGTTCAGTTGAGCTGGAGGAATCTGTCTGTATTTTCCATCAGAATATCACAATTGAGTACCTGAGACACTAGTTTGTGGCTTTTTGTAATGAATAAGAAATGGAGAAAATGTAGGTGAGTTTCTGAAATAACACATTTAGCTTGACATCCTAATGAAGTTTTCAAGGGTTTGGGGGTTTTACTTTTTGCACTGGTGTAGTTCCAAATGAATGTTAGAATACCTTGATTTTTTTTAAAGAACCTTATGGCTTCTCCCTTTTTAGTTGTTGAGATAGTCTTAGTGGTCAGTATTTTAATGTATGTCTATAGAGAAGCATTGAGGACTAAAAGAAATGAAACTGTAGATAAAGGTCATTAGACTTCCTAATGTTTGATACATAATCTTAAAATATTTTAAGATTCTTAAAAAAGGAAAACAAAAATAAAAAGAGTATGGTCAGGGCTTTTTTCTTTTAAAAGAAAAACTGATGACTTTATATAAGCTATTGTCTGGGTTGGTTAGTATGTGCTAACCACGGGCTCGTGTAGCATTACAGCTGTTCAGGGAAGGTAGGTTTGGTAGATGTAGGAAGTTATGCAAATAGAGGAATAGTACACGTCATTTATAACCTGAGTCTGCTTGAATGAGTAAAATACTGGGTCCAGGTGTAAATCAGTGGGAACCACTCCAGTTAAAATCAGCAGTTAGAATCCAGCAACTTTATTTAAGCTGTTGGGTTTCAGTGATCCTCAGTGGCCAATGATACTCTTCTTTTTTAGTTTGAAAGCTGGTAACAGTTCAGGCAGTTTTTTTTTTTTTTTTTTTTTTTTTTTTTTTTTTTTTTTTTTTTTTTTTTTTTTTTTACATGCTTAGCCCTGTCCTATGACAAGATAGCTCTTGAAAATGATTATAAGAGGTTTCAGTAGCTAATGTACTAAGGATTTCAGAAATGTTTGATGGTTTGGTACAAGTATGAACTGACAGGACCCGGTTTTGATTTATTTGGATTCTTACTCTTGTAAGCTTTTCCTTAATCTTGGCTCTAGTTCTTCAGATTATCAAGGAATCCCAGCAGCAGCATGGTTTACGGCATGGAGATTTTCAGAGGTATAGGTAAATATCATGGGCAAGATGTATGGAAATTATTGTGGAATTTTCAGATTTGGTTTGCTTTTGTTAATATCCTACCTATTTTGTTGTATCAGAAAGTATCCGTAGAAAGTCTCACTTTGAACTTAATATATTGAGTGCTCAGAATATACTTGTAAAGTTCAAAATTTCATAATGAATAAAAGGAGCCAATCTTTTTATCCATTGTGCCTCACAATATTGTAGATGCATTGGAGGCTTCTGCTGAAAATGGCAAGCAGTTATGGTAATCATTTTTTTTTTTTAACTTAACCGTGTCAGTAGAGTCTTGGTTAAATACAAAGCTTTTCAGTTTTTTAAACATTATATATGGAAATTTTCTTTCTTTTTTTTTTAATGTTTATTTATTAAAAAAAATTTTTTTTGACGTTTATTTATTTTTTGAGAGAGCATGAGCTGGGGAGGGGACAGAAGAGAGGGGGGAAGTCACAGATTCCGAAGCAGGCTCCAGGCTCCAAACTGTCAGCACAGAACCTGACGTGGGGCTTGAACCTATGAACCATGAGATCATGACCTGAGCCGAAGTTGGCCGCCTAACCAACTGAGCCACCCAGGTGCCCCTAATGTTTATTTATTTTTGAGAGATAGACCGAGCATGTGAGTGGGGGAAGGTCAGAGAGAAAGGGAGACACAATCTGAAACAGGCTCCAGGCTCTGAGCTGTCAGCACAGAGTCTGTCGCAGGGCTCAAACTCCTAGAATGCAAGATCATGACCTGAGCCGAAGTTGGATGCTTAACCGACTGAGCCACTCAGGCGCCCCTACTTTTTCTTTTTAAGTTCTGTGCCCAGTATGGGGCTTGAATTCAAAATCCTGAGATAAGAGCCACATGCTCCACTGACTGAGTCAGCCAGGCACTCCTATATAAGGAGAATTCTGTGATGTCATTACAACTTATTGGTAAACTTTGTAACAGTCTTCAAGTTAGAAGACAAATTTAATATGACTCTTAAAAAAGTAGAATAGATGTCTAATGTACGGTACAGTTCAGAACTTTGGAAGCAGAAGTATCTAACTCTTTTATATTATAGATACAGGCTTTGACTACCAGACTTTTAGAGTTACTTCGAAACAAAACACTCTGCAGATTCTAAGGAGTCGGCCATGCTGTAAAGGGTCAACAGCGCTGGGGCAGCTTGAGCAAGGTGGGGAGAGGTAGGAGGTAAAGGGGGAGAACTAAGCAGGGCCAGAATGGGTAGGGTCCTGTAAGCCAGGGTAACTCGGTCAGGTGTTAATCTAGGTATGGTGGGAAGCCACGAAAAAGTTTTAAACTAGACTATTATGACTTGAGTTTTTGTTTTTATTTTTGTTTTTTAATTACTAAGGAAATCAGTTATAGTGATCAGCGTTTTGCCCTTTTGTTTTCATCTGTTCCTTCCCCTTTTAAGAAAATATTTTATTGAAGGATTTTTAAATCATTTATTGAAGTATAATTTATATACAGAAAAGTATACAGAAAGTGATGAGTTTTTCACAACCTGTAACCAGTACCCAGATTAAGACACAACATTACCAGCATCCCTAAAGTTCCCCTTTGCTCCTTCTAGTCACAAGCCATTCCTCCCCAAAGGTCACCACAATTGTGACTTTTGACACCTTAGATTAGCTTTGAAATGTGTTTTCTGTGACACCAGTCCTACCGCCCTGCAGGTTTTAGTTCACTAAATGTTTATAAGATGAAGTGTGGTATCAGTGGTAACCATAAGTAGAACACCTCAAACTTCTGACTTGACTTTATTACAGGATTTGCCATTGAGTGTCCTACCAGCTTGTCTGAATTACTTTTGTTTTTTTCTTTCAGGGGCTACTGTTCCCGTAGACAAAGACGCCTTCGGAAAACTCTCAACTTCAAGATGGGGAACAGACACAAATTCACAGGGAAAAAAGTAACTGAAGATCTTCTGACTGATAACAGGTATTGACTCCTCAGTGGTAGTTGTTAAATACTTCTGGCTAACACATTTATTGAACAGTTCTATGTTAGTGTGCCAAAACTCTTTAATTACCTGATGTGATTTGTTTTAGCAGCTCTGTGGGGGTGCGCATTTTTACTTTTCTTGTACCATAAAATGAGGATACTGAGGCTCAAAGAGGTTCAGTAACTTTTTCAAGAACTAGGGCAAAATGCTAAATGTTAAAGTCAGTGATTAGAATCTAAGTGGTTATTAGGTGGGGTTTCTAGAATGCAAATTTCAATGTGTACGGGCTAACTTAAACCAGTATATCTTAAAGTTGTGTGCAAGTTATTCCAGAAAAGTTTTATATTTCAGTGCTGAATCTAGCCATGCTTAATATTTGCTGAAGGGTCAATCTGTCAAGCAGTATGTATTAGAGGTCTCTAGGCCAGTTTCTCAAATTTTAGCCTGTGGGCCAAATAGATCCCTTTTGCCACCTGTTTTTACAAAGTTTGGTTGGAACACAGCCACACTGTTTATTCAGGTGTTGTTTACAGCTGCTTTTGTGCTACAGTAGCACAATAACAGAGTAGTTGTGACAGAGACCGTATGGCCTACAAAACCTAAAATATTCACTATTGGGCCCTTTACAAAAAAATGTTTATTGTGCCCTAGTCTAATATATGGCCAAGACAGAGTGAGGCACCATCGTAGATGTAGAAGAGTTGGGGAGGCATAGTTCTTGAACCTTGTTGCCTGTGATATCAGTCAGGTACAAAACAGAGCACTGCGAGATAGGGAAACTACCATATTGTGTGTCATTTACTCTTAAGAATTCTGAAGTCTTGGAGGAGAGATGTTAGTTGGGAGTTTTTGATGGAGAAGCCAGGAAGCTTGCATGGAGGAGGCTGGACCTTGAGGGATTTGTGAGAGGAAAGAACATTGTGTGAGGGGAAACAGCAGACCATGGTGTCTGAATGCACTATAAGAATTATAATGCTCTTGACAGTTGAAAGGCTGGGAGCTTGGTGTATGGAGACACAGAAAACTAGAGCGTCGAGACCACGGTGGGATTCAGCAGGATGTATTGGTTAAATCCGCTGAGAACAAGTTAGGAAGGGTCTCTTATGATGGTGCTATTCTTTATTTTGAAGAGACAAGATTAAGCTGATGTTTAAGGATATTTAATCAAGGCAGTAGTTTAACAAAAGATTCATCATCATCATAATAAATCAGCTAACTTGCTGAGTTCTTAGTAAGTGCCAGACTCTGGTTTAAATGTGTTACCTGTATTACTGCATGGGAGACGGAGGCACAGAAAGATTAGTACTTTGCTCAAAGTCACATAGCTAGTGGGGGTGGCACTGAGATGCCAACACCTACTCTAGAGCCTTTAAGTTTATTTATTTTGGGAGAGAGAGAGAGAGATGCATGCACGTGCGTGTGCACGAGCTGGGGAGTGACAGAGAGAGGGAGAGAGAGAATCCCAAGCAGGCTCTGAGCTGTCAGTGCAGAGCCTGATGCGGGATTTGATCTCCTGTTTGGTAGGAGGTTAGAAAGTGGAGGCAGATCCTGGTCAGATACTGATTGAGTGCCATAGTTGATACCAGGAGAAGAGTAGTTCTGAGGAAGAAGGCCAGGAGGATGTGGAGAAAAGATGAGAGGCTGAAGATTGTGTCTTGAAGAGTATCTGAGTCTCACGCTCCTGGCCTTCATTCTTCAGTTTGCCTGTTCTCTCTCTGGTTTAGGTATTTGCTTCTGGTTCTGATGGACGCTGAGCGAGCCTGGAGCTATGCCATGCAGCTTAAACAGGAAGCCAATACTGAACCCCGAAAACGGTTCCATTTGCTCTCTCGCCTGCGCAAAGCCGTGAAGCACGCAGAGGAATTGGAACGCTTGTGTGAGAGCAATCGCGTGGATGCCAAGACCAAGTTAGAGGCTCAGGTTAGTGTCTTTACATCAGCTTCTTCATTGTGGAGGTTAGAGACGTGACCTTATGGTTAAACAGAACAGCTTCCCGATATTATAAATTGATAGGAGAGGCAAAAACATGGTCTTGCTTGTTCAAGGGGAAGTTGGCATCTCTTATTTTTGTTTTTGAACTCTTGGTTTTTAATAATTAGCTTTAACTTTTTTTTAAAAAAAGCTCATATTTCTCTTGAAATGGATATGGAAAGCTGGAATCTTAGATCTGGGAAGTTCACAAAATAAGAATCTTTTGAAATGAATTTTTAAAGAGTGATAGACACTGAACATTTACATTCAGCTTCTGATACTGAAGGTCATAGCCTGGAAGCTGGTTGTTAAATGAAGGAAACAGATTTTCTTTATTTTGAAATTCTCTCCTGGGAAGTAAATGAATCATAATGAATTTTCTGTATGTTACATCTTATTAAATAAGTTTTCTCTCTTTCTTTTTTTTTAAATGTTTATTTGTTTATTTTGAGGGGGAGAGGAGAGACGGAGAGAGAGGGAGACAGAGAATCCCAAGCAGGCTCTAGGCTGTCAGCGCAGAGCCCAGTGTGGGACTTGATCTCACGAACCGTGAGATCATGACCTCAGCTGAAATCAAGAGTCGGATGTTGAACTGACTGAATCACACAGGCGCCCATAAGTTTCCTGTTTTAAAATTACCCTGAATATGTCTATATTCCTGATGTCAAAGCTGAAAGCAGGTGGAGGAGGCTGAGCTGTGGCATCGACTCATGGGTGTTGAAGCCTTTCCCTTTTCCCACCCTCCCAGGCTTACACGGCTTACCTCTCAGGAATGCTGCGTTTTGAACATCAGGAATGGAAAGCTGCCATTGAGGCTTTTAACAAATGCAAGTAAGTCCTCCGGTCCAGAAGCCATGGCCAGTTTTGATTGTACATAGTCCCATTCAAGCAGCAGATAACTTAATGATTGTTTCTACGAAAGTACAGTTTCTTTGATTTTTATTTCATTCATTCATTCATTCATTCATTCATTCATTCATTTATTTATTTAATTTTTTCCCTTCCCTTTAGAAACATTGATTATTCTCATTCATCTTTAGAATACGCCAGTTCTCATAGTTGGTAGAAGGACCTCAAAGTGCCGTGTTTTGTTTTCAGTCACTGTTCCTTTTTCTTTTCTTTTTTTTTTTTTTTTTAATTTTTTTTTTTTCAATGTTTATTTATTTTTGGGACAGAGAGAGACAGAGCATGAACGGGCGAGGGGCAGAGAGAGAGGGAGACACAGAATCGGAAACAGGCTCCAGGCTCCGAGCCATCAGCCCGGAGCCCGACGCGGGGCTCGAACTCACGGACCGTGAGATCGTGACCTGGCTGAAGTCGGACGCTTAACCGACTGCGCCACCCAGGCGCCCCCTTTTTTATTTTCTTAAATAAGGCTGCTGTGAAACCAGATGTTTCTTTCCTCGCAGAACTATCTATGAGAAGCTAGCCAGTGCTTTCACAGAAGAGCAGGCCGTGCTGTACAACCAACGTGTGGAGGAGATCTCGCCTAACATCCGCTACTGTGCATATAACATTGGTGAGCAAGGGCTGAGCTGTCTTGACGGGTGGGTTATTGGTGGTTCATCCGGGAGAGCCTAGAGGATTTATTGAACTTCCGTTCTTCCCTTGTCCTTGCATCCATCTGTGGCATGGGTTTTGGCTAATGAGAAAAGTAGAGCTATTGAAATCAGCTCGGCTTAGAGTTGCAGAAGGCAGTTCCTGTGCTTTGTTTCCACCCTGCCAACGTGTGTGCTCCTCCAGAGCTTTGTCAAAGGACTTGGGATTCACTGAAATGTGCTCACGCAATGGGAAGGCCGTAGAGTGGAATCTAGTGGTTCTCAAGAGAAGAGACCCTTCAGGATTTTCCACTCAACACCTCTCTCTCTTTTCAGGGGACCAGTCGGCTATCAATGAACTCATGCAGATGAGATTGAGGTCTGGGGGCACTGAGGGTCTCCTGGCTGAAAAATTGGAGGTAATCTGGCCCGTACATTTTTGTGAAGCCTTTGGTTTGAAAAAGTCCAGAAGAAAGAAATAAGCTATACTCTTATCATCTAGTGTAATTGCTATTAATATATGTAGATTTGTTTGTGTATTTTAAAAAATATATATATATTT